GCTCCGGCCCTTACTCTAATTAGAAACAGCCTGGAAGTAATCCCCACTCTGGTGCTCCCCAGGTAGGGGAGGTTGAGGCCTCTGCTGGGACTACAACCAGCCCAACTTCTCCCTCTGCCCAGTACTGCTATCTTCCTTAGTGATGAGCTTAATCAACACTTTGGCCACCCATGTTCATCTTACAGTGGACATCTTAAGAAACACAATCCATGAGAGCCTACCAAATGTCAAGTGTTAGGTACACAGACATCACTAAGAGATGAGGTCCCAGTTCTTTCTGATTTTATTTTACTTTATTTTTTTTAGATGGAGTCTGCTGCCCAGGCTGGAGTGCAGTGGTGCAATCATGGCTCACTGCAGCCTAAATCTCCCAGGTTCAAGCAATACTACTGCCCCAGCCTCCCAAGCAGCTGGGACTAAAAGCACACACCACCACACCTGGCTAATGTTTATTTTATTTTATGTTTAGTAGTTATTTTTAATTTTTAGTATTTTCATTTTTATTTTTTATTTTTAGGTCTCACTATGTTGCCCAGGCTGGTCTCAAACTCCTGGACTCAAGTGATTTCCCACCTTGGCCTTCCAAAGTGCTAGGATTACAAGGTGTGAGACACTATGTCCAGCCTCTTTCTGATTTTAGAAAACAATGAAGGCAGGTAATACCAGTAAATTCATCACTCTCATATAATATGCAAAATTGTGGGAGAAAGGCACACGCTGGATGCTGTAAGAGTCCCAGGAGGGGCTGGGGGGTAGGAGGTTATCAGGACCGACTTCTTGTAGGAGCTGTGTGTAAAAGACAAGCTAGGTAAAGACAAAGTAAGGAGTTGGAGGCAGAAGAAAGAGGATGAGAAAAATCACAGATGCTTGAGGCTTCCAGTGCCGCTAACGGCAGGACACACCAATGGGCATGTGGGAGTGACAAGGAGAGGATGAAAGTGACAGCAAAAGTGCAAATGACAGATGCCTCCGGTAGGCAGTAATAGCATCAGGGAATAACTTGCACTTCATCCTATGGAGCTTGGTTCTTGGCCAATTTTTTTTAACACTGAGACATAAGGCCAATGACTTTTCCATGCAACATATACTTCCAGATTTTTCCAAATCCTCACCTCCACCAAAATAATTTGGGAAAATAAAGTAAAGAGCAGCAACACAGACATTTTGGGAGGGCAGGTGGGATACACTGATAACATCTTTATATAAGCATGTGAGTAATGATATCTATTAAACATGAAATCATCTGTTTTAGAAGAAAAATTATCAGCACATAAAATTTTTGAACATCTCATTCTATTTTGAAAACAAGAATCATTCTTTTTGTTTAGGTCTCCATTACATAGATAATATTAAAAGGCAAACAACTATGTACTCTTGATGAGTATACATGTTACTTATTATTATTGAAATAAATGAAATGTACAGACTTTAACCCTTTATTCGTATGACTTATCTTCTTGCACATTTTAATTTTAGTATGATTTTTCTATTTATTTGGTTGCCATAATTATTTGTCAACATAAGAATGTTCATAGCATCATTAATACAATATAAATACTTGAGCTTTCTTCATCTATCCTTGCCTTCCTTCTTATCTAGAAATTGTCCGTCGGTAAAATTACATAGACAAAATTAATAACTATAAAAATCTTAACTCATAAGTACTAGAGAAGCTCTTCTCAGTTATTAGCTGTGTACCAGAAACCATTAGGAAATGGGATAAATAAGCAAGGCTGATGAATTTACACAGTCCCCAGCACCTGCCCAGCCATGGCATCATTCTCTCTCTCTCTTTCTTTCTCTCTCTCTCTCTCTTCCTCTCTCTCTCTCTCTCTCTCTCCCTCAACCCCCTACACAGAAATAATACAGGAATAAAAGTGTGAATAACATTGCTATCATGGTAAACTTGAATCCAGTCTATTTTGCTTAAAAAATAATTTTTACACTGTAGTACCAGATTTATTATTAGTAATACATTACTTGTGACACCCACACGTGATCAATATTCACCAGGTTGTTCAATACTACAGTGGAGAGGCACTACCAGAAGTCATATGGAGCTACTGGCACGTTGAAAGCAAGAGCAAGGCATGGTTAGAGTTATAGCTTGGACCTGTCTCTCTGGAGTCAGATAGAGTATGGGATAAAGATGTTTTGGGAGAAGTCTTTAGCAAGCTGTCACAAAACTCAGGAAAGATATGATGAGGATCTGCCCAGTGTTGGGTGATGGAAAACAGCCTCATTCTGGCTGAGCCCTTCCATGGCGAGGCTCTATGAATGCCTACACTTGACAGTCAAGTTCCTTGAAAGAGGCAAGCAAGACGAGCTGACCTCTGCTTTTCACGTCCCTCTGCTTTTGAGAAAGGCCTTATTACCCTGACTAATAAAGCAGGAAATTACCTATTAGAGAAGGACTCACAATTAGATTTTGAAGCCCTAACAAGAGCTGAAAATCTAAATAAAATTTGTAGGTACAAGGGTTTGTCTGAATTTAGAAAACAGTTAGATTCTGTTTGATTTTTACTCCTAGGTTACCATCCGTTCCATCAAAATATGTTTATACCATCAGGTGCAAAGTTCTTCACTTATCTGGAGACAGAAATATCATGTATTTCTTCAATATAATCCCTCCTGTTTCCCAACCTTGCCACCATGGGACTGTCAGTTTTGACTCAAGAAAGAACTTTATGTAACTGCCAGATAAAAGACAAACTCAGATGTGCATGGCAAAACATTATCTGGGATGCACCAAAATTCTACCTTTGAAGGTCCAGGAGAGTCCAAAAGTATGTTAAACCAGCTAAAAGAAAATACGTCTGGTGAAAACATTTCAATGGATATGACTCTAGAATCAGACTCCTGAATGAAAAACAGACCCCTTCTTCTACTGCTCAGTGGCCTCTGGCAGGGTTAGCTGTGCTGCAGTCTGTTCATCCACAATATTACACAATGAAAGGTTCCTGTATCATCAGGTTGTATGAAAATTAGATGAGACTCCTGGAAAGTCCATAATTGAGGGCCTGATGGAGACAAAGCAATGGGGATGGTGGTGGAAGGAAGGTGGTGATGATGCAGCAATTCTATGCATCCCAGAAAGTAAGCCATGGCAATGTGACGGGCACACCAGATGTGTTGTTGTTGTTGTTGTTAAGAAAGCAATCCCTTGTTGACCAAACCAGTAGGCGTTAGGCCACACAGCCAGCAACCTATACATGCAACAAAAACAAATAAGAAAACCAAACAATCCCCAAATCAGAAGACCCCTCAACAGAAAGAGGCTGGAAAAAGAGAGGGAGAGGCAGATGAGCACGCACATCATACACTGCAACAGAGTTGGGGAGGAGAAAATAATCGAGTAAAACCCTGTTGTTCTTGCACTTCACTATTTTTAGGATGAGAGATTTTTGAGGATTAAATCTCACAAATAAAGTGTTATCTTCAGAAGGCTTTCAAGGTCTCAGGAGAATTCACAAGACCTGGCTCATGATCAATTTAAAGGGGGTGGGCTCTGGCTACCAATTATTACTGGAAGAGAAAATCAGATTTTTTTTTAGGGTGAATGTCCAGGTAGTTATTGTTTCCTAAGAGAAGGGAGATGAAAAGACCCAAAAGTGCACATAGAAGAAAACACACCATGTGAATCCCAAAGGGAGATTTTTAGACGTGGAACTAAAGAATTATAACATAACTCAATAAGCAAAACAGCTGATTAGGTGATAATTGTGTCAAATCAACAGCTCACAGCTCAACAGATTAAACTCAAATGACACATATTCCTAAGGATATTTATGGGTAACTAAATCATCTAAGATAAAGATTCTCAAATTACTTACACCAGAATAGAAAATCTTACAAACACCAATGCCAAATTTCATGCTAACATTCAATACATTTTTAGAAATTTCAGAAATAACAGATTGCAACAACAAATGTGTTTGCTCCAAGGAAGTGAAATCCTGCTACCTCCACCAGCTAAGACAGTGACATGGCAGTTTCAAATCTATTGAGACAGAGACTCAGGATGCAGTGTAATTGATAATCAAGACAATAACTTTTCTATGGAGGTATGCCTCAACTTATTTCCTTGTTTTAATCAGCCATGCTAAACGCTTTAAGAAAAGTATAGAAGATCATCCTGGACCAGCCTCTTCTGTAATATCACACCAATCAAAGACTTTACATAGACTCTTTCTTACCACATCCTTGAGAACTAGAAAAACATGTATTGAAAAACATTTTTTTTGTATTCAAAATCTTCCTGTTGTCTATTCTGCATCCCATAGGAAGAGATCTACCAGCAGACCACAACCCTCCTTCCCAGGCCTGGCCCTGCATGCAAAACCATGGAGGCTCCAGTACATCATTATTGCTCAGCTTTGGAAGAGCAAAGTTAGAATTTAGTATTTAACAGTTTTGCTATTTTGAGTTTTGAAATCACCTACTAAGGACTAATTGAGCACGGAAGTCATGTCAAGATGCATGACTCATTTTATATCAACACATCAACAACGTACCATTTCCAATGGACTTATATTAGAAACAATTTCAGTATCACAAAAATACATACATGTGCATCTGCCGTAAATGGTAAATATGAAGATGAGAGGTGCGTGATTTATAGAAACAACTGAACAAGAGTCTGAGAAAACACAGTGTCAAGACATGTGGGATATTTTCAAGTTGCTTTGTCATAAAGAAGCATTATTAAATGTGGTATAAACCCAAAAGAAAAACAACAGCTAAAGTCTAAATAGCAACTTCTGCCATTGAATATGATTCATCTTCGTTTCATTTGAGTTTGGGTGTTGCTGAAAGAACACCTCAGGAGTTTTCCCTCTCTGATGCAGGAGGACTGCGTCTAACTGGAGGTGCCTGGACTGCATGCTCACAAGTGCTGGGATGCTGAAGATAATTTCCCATCAAACAATTCATCTGATAGTTTTCTTCTTCCCCAAACAAAGAGAGAAATCAACAGCTTAAACACAGATTTCAGGACTCACCCACATTATCCATGTCCCAACATGCAAAGGCAACATATTTCCAGATGATTGGCAGGTCCATATTCCATGTTCCAAGTGAGACAGGAAGGGTGAGCAAAAAAGAGAAAAAAAAAGTATTTTAGACATAGTTCAACAACTGGTGCTACCTTATCCCATTCTGAGCATGATAATGACACTTCCCTCCTTTCTAGAAGCCACCCCACTGCCAATACAGTGGGAGTTAAGGAGAAAGTTTCTGTAGAAAAACAAGGTGCATAATTCATGAGACATCCAAAGTGATCTCTCATTAACAGTTGCAAATAAGAGATATACACCAAACCACATTTGAATATGCAATAGATGTTTCCAGAAAGATAATATGAAAGATTTGTATAAACACATAGGATCATAAAAATAAAGCAAGTCTGGACTAGAATGGGGATGGGGGGACTTCTGCAAGGTACAGACTTAGGCTAACTCAAAATAATAATCAGAAAATCTAGTAGAGTGATCTACACATTCCAACAAGCATTTGACTAAAACAATTCTAATTACACACTCACAAAAAATATAAATTATAACCCAGTTTAGCTGTGCTACCAGTCAGAACCACAGAATAGAATTTGCATTCTTCAAAGAAGAGACCAAAAAGTAGTAAGTTATTATTATCTTTTTATAGAGTCCCAGGAAAAATAATTAACATGTCATTAAATTTCTAGGATGCATTGTTTTTTCATCTTACAAGCCATGATAATTGCTCTATCAGGGAAGAAATTTTGCAGCATAAAATCACATAAAACATATTTTCAAGTAGATGGAACTCCCAAACTGAGCTTTCATGTAAAATAGCTCATCTGTCATAAGCTTTCCATATGAGCAATCACCTTGGAAAACCAGGCTTTGTCAAGGTCATGCTAGAGGAATTCTGTGATCCTCAGGTCCACTCAGGCCTCCTGGGCCTCTGTCTTGCAGATGTACACTACTAATCAGTTCTATCAAATGCCACTGTCAACTCAAAAGAACTGAAAGCAGGGTCTCAAAGAAATATGCGCATGCACATGTACGCAGTAGAACTATTCGCAATAGTCAAAAGGCAGAAACTACACGTGTCCACTGATGGATGCATGGACAAACAAAATGTGATAAGTACATACAATGGAGTATTACTCAGCCTTCAAAAGGAAGGACATACTGACACATGTAACAAAATGGATGAAGCTTGAAGACACTATGCTAAGTGAAACAAGTCAGACACAAAAGGACAAACACTGCATGATTCCACTTATGTGAGGTATACAGAGTAGTAAAATTCATACAGACAAAAAGTGGAATGATGGTTGCCAGAGGCTGTGGGGAAGGAAAGTGGAGAGTTGTTGGTTAATGTGTAGAGTTTCAGTTTCACAAGATGAAGTAAATTCTGGAGATTTGTTGTAAAACAACATAAACTAATGAGCCAAGACTATTTATTTTGAACTTTTATGACATGCATACCAAGAAAAGCTTCATTAGAGAGTAGTACAATAAATAAAATTTGGCCTGGTGTAGTGGCTCATGCCTGTAATCCCAACATTTTAGGAGGCTCAGGTGGGAGGATCACATGAGCCCAGGAGTTTGAGACCAGCCTGAGCAACATGGCGAGACCCTGTCTCTGCGAAAAATTTTTAAAAATTAGCCAGGCGTGGTGATGTGCACCTGTAGTACACCTGTACTTTAGTAGAGACAGGGTACTTCCTGTACTCGGGAAGCTGAGGTGGGAGGATCACTTGAGCCCAGGGTTTCGAGGCTACAGTGAGCCACGATCACACCACAGTACTCCAGCCTGGGTGACACAGCAAAAGCCTGTATCTAAAATAAATAAATAAATTGTTAAGTTCTCAATCCATAAAAATATATACACATGTAACTCTACTGAACTGTACAATTAAAATAGTTAAGATGGTAAATTTTAAGACGTGTATTTTGCCACAATTAGGGCAAAAAAAAAAAAAAAAAAAAAGCACTACTATCAGACTATCAGAATAGTTTTGGAACTATTTGGCCACCCTGTGTAGACCCAATCTTGAAAGGAAAGAATGCATGGAAGTCAACAGTTGGCACAAAGTGTTAAAAGACTGCAATTTGTAATAGAATAAAAAGCCTAGCATTAATTCAAGAAATTTGGTCTTATTCTCAGCAGATAGTAGAATGAGAGTAGTTGCCTAAAAGACACTGGAAGAAATCATGACAGAAATGCCTACCAAGACCAAGAGATGGGCGGGGCTGTCCCTACTCACTCCACAGCCCTCAGGGCAAATGTCCTTGCCTGTGGTATCCCCGTTCTATCCGAATCCTGGAAAAGCGTCCATGCAAGGTGTTCCTGATGTCCTTTGAATATTTTTAAAGTTTAGCAACTTGAGCTTCGGATAGCAGTTTGCTTCTTAATCTACTCTCCTTCGTCCTGGTAATGAAAGGTGAATGTTTGTCTCACTGCAGATATGCAGACTGTATTTTTATTGGCCAAAGAGCAAGCAGGAAGACACACAGTTGATCCTCTCTCATAATTAACTATTTTTACTTGCCAAAGATGCCGAAAAAAGGGAATATATTGGTGCATAAATGAGTTACTGTCATGGAGGTAAGCACAAATATCTGTTTTCAAACACATTTTTGTTTTGTTTTGTTTTTTTGAGACGGAGTCTCATTCTGTTGCCCAGACTAGAGTGCAGTGGCACAATCTTGGCTCACTGTAATCTCCGCCTCCAGTGTTCAAGCAATTCTCATGCCTCAGTCTCCTGAGCAGCAGGGACTACGGGTGTGCACCACCACACCCAGCTAATTTTTGTATTTTAAGTAGAGACGAGATTTCACCATGTTGACCAGGCTGATCTCAAACTCATGACCTCAAGTGATCGTCCGCCTCAGCCTCCCAAAGTGCTAGGATTACAGGCATGAGCCACCGTGCCCGGCATGTTTCCAAACAATTTCTGCTTGTACATTTCATCACCAGTCTCTGGCATCCATGCGTCTCTTTTACAGTGAGTTGATCTTTGAGTGAGAGGACACACCTGCAGACAGGAAGGACTTAGGGAGTATGAGGCAGGAGTTCAGTAATCTCTTAAGGAAGTGGGTGACCTTGACCAAGCCACTAGACATTTGTTTTCTTGAGGGAAGAAAGAAAATAATAAATGTCCTGGCTTTTTTATAGAGTTACAGTAACAAAAATGATGCCTGTAAAAGACCTTTGAGAAACACAAAGCCGTGTCAATTCAGAGTGAACTTTTGAATGTCTCCAACTATTGCCGGCCTCTTGGCAGTAATGCTCAGTTCCTTCTTAGGAGATGAGGAATGTCCAAATGTGACAAGGTATGCTATAGTCTCAACCTAAATTCCTAGCCCTATTTCCCATTATCCCCATCAGTCACCCTACTGACCCCTCCAACCAAACAAAGACCCATGGGTTTAGGGTAGATGATTCTTGAAGTAGGAGCCAGGGACTGGGAAGTCCCCAAGATCCTTTCAGGGACCCCTGAGGTCAAAGCCACTTTCCTGGTTGTACTAAGACCTTATTTGCCTTTTCACTTTCATTCTCCCAGGAGCTTAGAGCCTAGAAGCTACATGATGTGTGATATCTCACCCTCAGTTTCTAATGCAGGAGTAGGCATGAGAATCCACTCTCTTCTGCTAAGCCAGGCATTAAATAGATTTGCAATGACAGTCTTTACCCGAAGCTGTTTTTGTTTTGGGAAACACAGTTAACCTTCATAAAAATATTTATGGTAACATGAAATGGCTTTATTATTGTTATTTTTAAGTGAATTAAAAATAAGTATCAAAAATGTTCTCAGTTGTCATTTTGGAGGCAGTAAATATCAATAAATAACATGTATAAAAAGTTCTTTGCAGTCTTCAGTCATCTGTGAGGATGTATAGAGGTCATGAGACCAAAACAGTTGAGAACTATTAATCTAGAACACACAGCAGAAGGGCAAATGATACAAGATGAGGCTGCAGAAATGGATGGGAGCAAACCATGTGGCCAAGTGAAGAATTCTGGTCTTTACCCAAGAGCAATGTTAGAATAGTCCACAGGTGTAGGAGGCTGGAATTATAGTCCCTTTCTTTGTATGCAATAGTTGCACAGAATTATTAATTTTCACCTTATTTTCCATCACTTTGATTCATAAATCTTCATCACCCTATAATGAACCTCAGAGTTTTCAAAATGAATAACTTCCCTTACATGATCAGATGCATATCTGAATGGTACTTGCCTTTAAAACCCAAGTTTCTGCTTGATTCATGGAAAATGTTCATAGATGAGCTTCTTTTGTCTCCCAATACCTCCCACATTCAGGTAGAACGAGAATCAGGGTCTCGCTCCTGCTCTGGAGCCTCTTCACAAAGCAGGAGGAAATGGAGCCGTGCTGATGGCCACTTCTACAAGAGATGGGTTTTTTTAACCTCATGAAGGCCTTCTGTGCTGCTTTAGAAATCCTCTTTGCACTCCCTCATTGGCTCTTTTGTACTCTGCCCTCTGAAGTTGTTGCAAACTTTATCCATTCTCAAACCCTTTCTGTACTCCCCTAACTCTTAGGAAAAAACCCCACTTCCCGCTTTACTGAGAAGCCAGAGGCAGGAAACTATGGAGTTAACGTTAATGCGCTATGATTACAAAATGTAGGAGTTGTAACTTTAGTGTCAGCAAGATTAAAATAATTATTTTAATAGGCAGTTTCCAGGAATAAATAGCAACTAAAAGCATGATTATGATTTTAATAAAAAGAAAATAATTATACCTTAGTAAAATCAGTGAGAAAAGACAAATCTGTAGCTAGGTCAGGGTCAGGTTATGTGTGTGAAGAGAGTATGAACGTGGCCGGGGACAAGGCTAGTTACAGCAAAAATTTTATGTAAGTGCATTCTCCAGAGACACCTGCTAGAACATAGCTAACTGAGTGAACAGCCTGTACCCTAAAAGGAAGAGACTGATAAGGTGTTAGAACCTCCCATCAAGACTAAGATGGTTCAATATCAAGAGAAAGGAACTGAGCTTTAAAAATGCTAAAGATATCAGAGCAAAAAAAGCACAAAATCGAACTTCTCAGTGTATCTCATTCAGACTTTTTCTTAAAACTGCTTATGTTTTCCTTTTTCTTACTTTTTTTTTTTTTTTTTTTTTAAGAAGCATGGAGCAAGGAGAGAAACTGATTTCACAGAGGTAGTCTGTCTTCTCGAATCGACTTTGGCTTGGGTGAGTGACTCACCCTCTGTAAACCTTGGTTTTCTCTCTTTATTTTAATTTTTAATTTTTGTGGATACATAGAAGATGTATATATGTACTGGGTGTATGAGATGTTTTGATACATGGGGGAGGTGGGGATGGCTAATGGGTACAAAAAAACTACTTAGAATAAGTAAGACCTACTATTTGAGAACACTAGAGGGTGAGTATACAAAAATAACGTGACTGTACACGTTGAAAATAAAGAGTGTGATTGGTTTTCTCTCTTAACATTAGATACTCCAGAAGTTGTGGGAAAGGCCAGAAATAAAGATATTTCCAGCCCTCAGGGCAGAATACTGGCACAGAGTAGACCCTCAGTAAATGATAGCTCTTTTTCTGTCTCCTCTTCTTTTTCTTCTGTCACAATAAGTCACCCAAAAGCTGTTTTACTTTTAGGTAACTGTGATCTATGTGCATACAAAAAGAAAATTTTTAACAGAGAGAGAGAGAAATAGAAAGACAGCATGGTTTCTTAGTACTCCTTTTTCTTGAAGGACAACCCCTATCTGTATTATGAAATCCCACCTTCCACGGGGCTGAAATCCCCTCCAACTGGGACGTCTTAGTTCTGTGCCCTCAGGTTCTTCTCCAGCACCTCAACCCTTCCTTCTAGTGGTCTTCCAGAGGGAAGGTCTTCTGTTCTCTTCTGGTTTCCCTGGATTTCTCCAGGCACCACTCTTTTCATTCTCAGCAATCTCCCTGGGTAATCTCACAGGTTTTGAAGGAGGATTATAGTTGCCTTCCATAGAAATATAGAACAATGACAACACCACCCTTCTGTCACCTCTCCCAAATACAGCTGTTACCCCCGCTCCTGCACAGCCCACCCGTGAATCACTCCAACTGTTCTACATCTCAAGCCCACTATGTGTATGCCTGCTTCACTCTTTCTCCACTTTCCAGCGCTGAACATTGCCTGACCCCCACAACCCTACTTTTCCTTCAAGTCCAGGATGAACTCAGCCTCCCCTGTGAATCCTTCCCAGTCTGCCAGTCAAAATCAACGGCTTCCTCTTTGATGATTCCCCAGAACTGGAGCAATCACTAAAAAAATGCACCTAAAGTGTTTTTATTATGCAGTATAAGTGTTTTAATTATGCAATAATATATATATTATATCCATATGCATACATATTATATATATAATATTGCATCATAAAAACACTTTAGGTTTTTATTTTATTCAAAATTCCAAACAATTTCCTACAATACATATACATATGTAAGAGATGAAGCATAAAAACAAAATGAACACCTGTGAACTCTCACTTAATAATGAGAAGGTCACCAATGTGGTTGCCTCTACTCTGCAGTCCTCCTGCCTCCCTACACATTTTCCTAAACAATATTGTTACGTTTTTCAGTTTCTGAGCCTTATAAAAATGCTATTACATCATGTAATCTTCTGCAACGTAAAAAAGTCAACAATATTAAAGATCCATCCATGTGGTTGGTTGATAGCTATGGTTCATTTTTGTGGTTGCATGGTATCTCATTTGGTGAACATGCCATACTTTAGTTATCTACTCTCTTGTCCATAGATATTTGTGTTGTTTCCAATTTCTTGCTATTATGGATAATTTTGAAACATTTCTTGATGTATACATGGAAGAGTTTATAACATATAATGAAATGCAAAATTCCTGTGTTGGATAGTATGCATATCTTTAAAAGATAATGCCTAATTGTTTTTCAATATTATTATATCAATTTACCTTCTTCCCTCCAGTGATGTATAAGATTTGATATTTTCATAAAATTCTCTTTTGCCATTCATCATTATCACACTTTATATTGTTTTTATATACTGACCTCCCTATAAGATGATAGTATCATATTTTATTCACGTTTCAATTCTCATAGTCTAACAGTACCTTGCTTATAAAAGATGATCAAACTGAATGAATGAATGAATGAATGAATGAATATCAAACTGAAGAAAATACAACAACCTGTATTTGATTTGAGTTACAAGTCATTCTATTTTTTAAATGCAAATAACAAGGAAGGACTATAGGGTCATCATTCTTTCTGCAAATATAATTAATTCAATCACACTACTTTCCTATTTATTACTTGATCACAAGAACAAAAAATGGTAGTTTTTGAGGAAGAGAATGTAATAAATTTGGAGCTAGGAGTATGTTTTGGAAAGTAAGAAAGCCTAACTATGAGCAAAAAAGTTTGACTTAGGATAGTATGCCCAAAGAAATGGGCACTAGAAGACAGATGAGGGATTCAGGAAGGGAGTTGCAAAGCACTATATACTCATCCAAAAATTTTCACCGCAGGCTATCCATCTAGGGAGGAACCATTTGACTTCCTGTTCCAAGGTCTCATAAGTGATATTAATACTGCAGTTCCAAAATGTTCATAACATAGGTTTAATATAGTTGTCTGGACTAGCCTGGAAACCTAAACACAATTTTTAATATCTTCTCTCCGGGCAAATAATTCAAAATTCCAAACAACTACTTATAAATGCACTTTTCAAAAAATGACTCAGCTGTAAAATGGGGAATGCCTATATTCAGAAAGTAGGTCTCTGCCTTTTATCACTCTAGTCTTTTCACCCTAAGGCTAAAAAGTCAGAGACTGAAGAAAAGAAGCATTCCTATGCTCTTAGAAACAAAATCTACAACATTCATAAACTACCCTTTGATCATTGCTTGTCTTCTGCTTTGAAAAATATTCAGAAAGAGAATGTCAATACCTCCCAAAATATGACATAAACATGCATTCCTTATGCGGGAAATGTAAAAAGGTTAAGGTAAGACCATGGACTAAAGAAGGAGAATAGTTCAGCAACATTGCTCAACCTACGTCTAAAGAGCACACAGAACTGAGACCAAGTTTCTACCCCATGGGATTTCAGTGGAAAAATAAAAGGCTTCTAAACATTTGGAGGTCATTGACCTTGGCTTCCCCACATCTTTGATGCTCCTTCTCATATCATGCGCAAACTGATACTTTAGTAGGTCAATGGTGAAAAACAAATTTCTGAATTCAATGTGTGTCTTTGTGAAGAGACAAAAGTCAACAAAAAGTGGTAAAAAACCACACCATAAATCTCCAACAAGCAACCCCATACAGACGAATTCATCTTGTCTCTACAACAGCAAAATCATCCTACCATCAAAAAAATAATGTGTTTAGAAGAGACCTTGGTATTTTCACCCCCGGTAGAAGGCATGTGCTCACAAACATCCTGTTCGGTGTTAAAGGTGTAATAGGTTCTTATTGAACCTCTCCCTGTAACTTCAGTATACAGTTTGATTACACCTTTAACACCAAACACTGTGTTTGCTGTTAAATATGTTTAAAATATTACTCTAGTTAACTCAGCCACTAACACTTTTTTGAAAATACAATTATTATGTGTTCTAATTTCTATTTTATAACAGCACACTGTAATGATTTGTATCTACTGAATGCCTACTATGTGATGTATGTATAATACAAGGACAACTCCACAAGAACGGGGATGTTGACTATTAAGAGAGGTTTGAGTGGGGGTGGGGAAGGTGGGGGTTAGGATGAAGTTCAGGAGAAACGGGCAGAAAAGAAGAGCACATTTCACTCTGATTAGATTTTTGTGAACACAGTGCAACTTGTTCCGTTGAGTCCCTGGTATGGTGCACTCACTTCCATCCATATGCAGCCCAGCAAAGTCCAATGTATGAAAATGGCTCTTTTCTTTTTTAGGTTTTTTCTATTATCAATCCTTTTCCTTAGTCCTACTAACATTATATTTTTAGTCAGAGAAATAATTTTGTGGGTCAGACACTTTTTCCCGTATCAACTCATTTCCAGACACAAAGTTAACTGCACCTTCCACAGAAAGCCATTCAGCCATTCATGATTCAGCTCAGCTGTTCCTTGAAGCATTATATAAGCAGGTCAGAGGCAGGAATGTGCCACTTGCTACATTCCAGCCAGGTCTAGTGGACTTTTATCGTTCCCTAGACTAACAGCTAATCAAATGTAACAAACAACCCCCTTTCCTTATGCCAAATTAAGGCCAGGAGAAAGTGTTTTTAAGAGATGCACTATACTTTAGCCATGTATTATCATTTTTATTTATTTTAATGGGAGCCATCTAGATAAATCCTCTTGCTATGCTTTGAAAAGATTACCCAGAACCTCTTTGAATTCATCCAAATCCATGATGATGCATAAAAGGAAAGGAAAATAATAAAATGAGATTCTAGGTAACATGGTAAACAGTGAAAGTACTGAGTTAATTCAGAAAAGTAATTGATTAATTGTTAACAGATCAATGTGATCAATTATCCAGAGGTGAAAAACTATATTACCTGAGCTAACAATAACAATATTGTTATTAAAGAATTCTTTAGTATTTTTTCCATAGCAAAACCTGTGTAAAGTGATATTTTCATTTTTTCATGTCGAAATTGTGTTTTAACATCCCTGAGCTATGAAAACAATCACAAAGTGTATGCTATGTTATCAAGTTTAAAAAAAACAAAAGGTTTTTAATCTATGACAATGCTTCAGGATTGTAGATTTGAAAGCGGAAGCAGCTGTAACTCTATCACAAAGATGAATAAACTATCATCCAGGGAAATTAAGTGACGATGAACCCACAATCTGGAAAATGACATTGCTGCTTACTTTTCCTGAAACACACTCAGTTATGTTCTAAGTGTATACTACAGAGACCAATGCTACACTTAAAGGAAAATACATGTGGAGTAACCTGAAAGGAAAGAGTATATTCATCTATTAAAGTACCAGACACAAAACAAAACATCATGATACTTTTTCACTTAGTGAAAAGGTTTGGCAACTGGGTCACACGTACACTTCAGCCACATTACTCACTGTTGCATGACCTAATTCTCTTCTATCTATAATATGTTTTCAAAGGAAGCAAATAATAGCTAAGAATAGTACAAATTACACATCCTTTATAATAATGTAGATGATGTTGTAACATGACAATATTCCCCAGTACTCATAAATTTTGTGAGAGAAAAGTATCTACCCCATCCGATCTTTTAAAAATATGCCATCTGAACTTTTTAAAAATAAGGTCTATATATTTTTAGCTTTTGATATTCCAATATCTAACTATTAGAGAAAACAAAAGGAGTCTTTTGGGAAAGAACCGAGGTAAAGAGAAAAGGAAATCAAAGTACAAACCTTGGCGCCAAGGTTTTCTGCACTCTTAGGCCATCAAACTTTCCCCACCCATAGTCACAGTAACCTTTCCATATCTAATCTCCCCATATGACTCCTTTGCATATGATCCTTCAATGGTTCCCCATTGCTTATTTGATAAATTTTAAAATTCCTGGAGCTTACAAGTTGGTAACCCTTGTCTAAACATTTACATATGCCAGGTGGACCTCATGAGGCCACAGGTGTCAATGGTCCAGAACCCGTATCTCCTCCAGACCTCAGGGAAGCAGAAGAACACATCACTCACTTTCTGGCTGTCCTGGTGACTCTCTGCTGGGTGCTGGCCACAATGGGTTTAGTAGCATCCTTTGAGATATTTGACGTTAAGTATCACTGTAGTGGCCAAAATTGGAGCAGGTAAAAATTGCTTGGTCTAAGTGGCTCAGAGAGGATTCGGTTTTGCAAGCAGCGGAGAGATCTCCAGGGATCCCTAAACCCAGCTGGGAGAAATCTGACTATGGTTAGAATGACTATTTTGTGAGTGGTGACAGAGTCAAAGAAATACAGTTTTATTATAGGTATTAAGTTGTGTAGTTACTATAATTCAGGAAATATGGGCTATATTTGTATCCACTATGAATTAAAATACTCTTTTAAAAACCAGATCAAAGCAGGTTCATGCCTGTAAATCCAGCACTTTGGGAGGCCAAGGCTGGAGGATTGCTCGAGCCCAGGAGTTCCAGACCAGCCTGGGAAACACAGCAAGACCTCATCTCTACAAAAGTAAGAAAAAAAAAAAAAAAAAATCCAGTGGGATATGGTGGCATGTGCCAGTGGTCTCAGCTATTCAGGAGGCTGAGGCAGGAGAATCACTTGGGCCTGGAAGGTCGAGGCTGCAGTGAGCTGTGATTGTGCCACTGCACTCCAGCCTGGGTGACAGCGCAAGACCCTGTCTCATAAAGGAAAGAAAGAAAGAAAAAAAAAAAAACCAGATCATCCCTGTCCATTTGAAAACATGAAAGTGTAACAGTTTTTCCTAATTATTTTGTAATTAAATGACCAATGGAGATCACTTCAAGATTAAAAAGTATAAATTAATTTGTCATGGATTACTTTAGAATAAGCAAGGCTAAATCTTTACGATATTCATTACTTTTTCTGCTTGAATGATACAGATATAGAGGAGGCAGATCAACACAATATTAATTTCTATTTGATTTCAAAATGCAGAAACATTTTGCAGTAGGATTATCAGGGTTATCTTCCTAACTGCATTTTGCTTTGGTTATTTTTTTTTTTAACATGAAAAAGGGCAAAAGGAAAATTACATTTAAATATACTCAGGACTAAAATTTATTTTTTTAAATCATCAAAAAGCATATAAACATAGTCAGGGCCAAGAAGAGCTTGAAACAGAAACGTTGAGAGTAAAACGTGATCTGTTAAATATGGACTTTCAGACTGAATTAAATGTTAATAAGGTGTGCATTAAATGACAAAAAGATATTGGTACATTTGTTTGGGCACTTACTATATGCTAGCCATTTTCTAAGTATTACTTCTTGTTCTTACAACAACTCTGCTAGATGTGCATTACTAAAGTAGTTTTGCAGAAGAAATGAAGACTCAACAAACTTAGGTGACTTGTCGCCAGATAGTCAACTATACCTACTGGTACGGAAACTGCAGCAAGATGAGTCTAGCAGTTGCTATGCGTCCCAGTATGCAGTGAGCTTAATAGTCAGGACATCTTGCTCATTGTACATTGTATCACCGTGTTTCTTCTACTCTTTAGGGTTTGCAGGCTACGTTTTTTAACATTTTCATTTTGTGTATATTATTCACAAAGCAACCTGAAAAAGGCACCCACCATTCAAAGAGACAACTATTCTAGGCAGAATGCAAATATGTTTTAATCTGTGACAGCAACTGCTTTTAAATCGGACCTCTAGCTTCGCAAAATGATCTTTGCTCCCACAGACTCCTGGTCTCCTTTAGCTCTGCAGAATGCTGTCACTATTGGGGGAAAGAAATATGTTTTTCACTTAGAGGTGAATATGAGTCTCTGATTAAACATTTGTTTGTATTTGAATTTGTCCCTGTGAATTTTCTATGTTTGTTTTTATACTGAAGCAGTTACAGAGATGGAGAGATTTGTATGATGCTGATTTTTTTTAACTATCAGACCAGTAACTAAAATATTGGGTCTCACTTTTTCACTCATAAACTACTGTCACATAGTTGACATCATTACATTTTTTTCATCCTGTATGTGATGCAGGGAATTCTGTTATTTCTTTTTGCCAATGGGAAAGCTGAGGCCGAGAGAGGCTTAGTAAGCTGCAGATGAGCTGGGTTTGGAACAGCATCTTGATATGAATCACACACGTGTGACCAAATGTTTGCACATAGTGGATAGCCAACATCTTTTCCATTTTATAACATATTTGTGTAAACTTTATAAATACCATGTGTCAAAATCCATACAACATAGATACAGCAGCCCTTGATCACTCACAGCCATTCAATTCCTCATAATCCAGGAGGTTTCAGTACATAATTCTAACACTATGCGAAACTACCTAATTCCTAACTATTCAAAACCTCAGTGCTTGATCATGCCTGTGTATTTTTCTTTTTGCTCATTCCTAGTGAGCAATAGACTATTTACAACTATTTGATGAGGATGAATTTATCCTCTCAATTTGAAGGCTATTGTATATTCAATAGTTTGGAAGCATTTTTCTTCCTGAAAGTTGGAAGCTGGTCATCTTCTTAAAATAATTTATTTCTTCACCTGATGCCGAACATATAGTATACACATGAGAAATGGCATGGCTTCATCTTTTAATTTTTTTTAACTTTTTAATTTTTTTTTAGACAGTCTTACTCTGCCACCCAGGCTGGACTGCAGTGGTGCAATCTCGTCTCACTGGAACCTCTGCTTCCCAGGTTCAAGTAATTCTCGTGCCTCAGCCTCCCAAATAACTGGGATCACAGGCATGAGCCACCACACCAGGCTAATTTTTGTATTTTTTAGTAGAGTCGGGGAGTCAGGGTTTCACCATGTTGGCGAGGCTGGTTTCTAACTCCTGACCTCTAGTGATTCACCCATCTCAGTCTCCCAAAGTGCTGGGATTACAGGCAATCTTTTCATTTTTAATAAAAAAGTATGAGACCATAAGAAATTTAATCTTCTAAAAGTACGAATACACTTTTTTTTTTTTTTAGAAAGGGTCTTGCCCTGTCACCCAGGCTGGAATGCAGTGGCACACAATCATAGCTCACTGCAACCTCCAGCTCCTGGGTTCAACTGATCCTCCTGCCTCAACCTCTCAAGAAGCTAGGACTACAGTCATGTGCCACCATGCCTGGCTAATTTTTAATTTTCTGCAGAGACAGGGTCTCAATTTGTTGCCCAGGCTGGTCTTTGGCCTCAAATGATCATCCTACCTCGACCTCTGAAATTGCTGGGATTACAGGTGTGAGCCACGGTGTCTGGCCTCGCTCATGTACTTAGGAATGCATTCAGTATTTTACGGGCATCTTGCCCAGCATATCTCATTTTCCCTTCAGTCCAATCACTATCAGCTAGACTCTCCACATTCTATTCTACTTTTGAAAGCTCTGTCTAGCTCACATGGCTATAATGTCATCACAATAATGACGAATGTCAATTTTACAAATTCTTCCAGCTACCAAAGCACAAATTATCCATGAAATTAGGCCAATGTGGGTAGAGGGTGGTTTTTGAAGTTTCCAGATAATTGCCTGTTTTTCCACTTTATCTTTAAAGACCTCATCAAGGCCTGGCTACTTCTTCCTCATACTGACTTGACATGGGATTGGAACAACATTCTTCTCTTCTTCTGTCTTAACTCTCGTCATATGTCTCTAGACAATCATCCTCTCAGTGACAAGTTACGGTGGAGCCCCCACTCTGGATAAAACTTACTGGAGAATACAAAGGTGAATAGGATGAAGTCATAGCTCATCCTATGAGTAATGGATGTAAACACACGAAAGAATGAATATGTGATAAGTGCCACAAGAGAAGAAGGAGCAAAGAGCTACAAAAGGAAATGAGAGAGAGAGAGATCTTCTGAATTATCGAGAAAAACATCACAAGGGAGGTGGTGTTTGAGTGCAGGATTTCAAGGTGAAGAAAGAGGAGGAAGGGCATTTCAGTAGAAACAAATTGGGTGAGCGAAGGACAGAGAAATCAAACCTAAAGGCATGCATAGGAATTGGGGAGATTGTCACGGGTTTCCTGTTCGGGCCTTGGGAGATCTGAACACTTATATACAGGACAGCAAACATAGGGCTTTGAATACAAATCAAAAGGAGTTTGCACTCATACTTTAGGAAACAGAAGTGGCTTGAGGTTTGGAGCAGGGAGTGATAAAACCAAAGCAGCACTGTGAAAGAACTGAACCGGAAGAAGTTAGGAAGACAGAATGAGAGTGAGCTGGGATAATTACCGCAACAATCCAAGCAGGAGGTGGCAAGAACCAGAGCTAGGACTGGTGGGGATCTGATAGAAAGGAAGTGGCAGTGGAAGTTACCACCACGGGGACCCTGACATTTCTGTGGTGTGTGTCTGTCAGGGAGCAATGTGAGAAGAGAAAGGCATAAAAACATGAAGGCCAGGTCTCCCATGCAGGTGACTCGGGACATGGTGGGTCCTAGGGAAAGGGAGGAAAGTATGAAATTGATGAATGAAATTTTTAGACGTATTCAGTTTGAGATGACTGGGGAACAACTGGGTAAAATATCCCCTTGCCAATTTCAAATGTGAGACTGTATTTCTAATGAAGGCTAAGAGTTAAAATAAAGATGTGGCAATAATGCATCAAGCCAACTGACACTCCTGGTTCTAGAAAACCAGTAGCTTGTTGCCAGAGCAGCTCACCTAAAAGCCAGGCCACGTTCTAGGTGTTTTATATGTTCTTCTGTTGACTTCTCACCATAAAGCATTCCTATCCCCATTTTACTGATGAGGATTTGGCGGTTCAGAGATCTTACACAATGAGCTGACTTCAGAAGGGAGGTGTCCAAGTTCTTATTCACCCTTGTTTTCCCACCACACAAAGAAATGGTAGCTTTCTCTCTCTTTTTATTTCAAAGTCGCCATTGTAAGTTCTACATGCATTTTTTTTGTCCATTCATGTCTTTTCTCCATTCTGATCTTCATTTACGCTGCTTGACTGAAATTGCACCCAATCGGCCTCAATTATATTCAGTGCCCTTCCCCTGTCTTGTCGCTGCTTTTAACTTAGCTGCTCACTCTCTCATTATTTAGGATTCCAAGACAGCGTCCTTTCAGCTCCCACATCTGGAATTCTTACCACAATCTTACGAGAACATTGGCCCTTGCATTAGTTTTGGGCTAGGAGACCCTTAGCACTTCAGAATGCACACTACACATCAATCAGCCCTGCTTTTTTACAAGACATCATCATGACACCAAATCCTCCCAAATAAAAGCCCCACATACTACTGAACTAGCATGAAAACAAAACAAATTATTTTCATCTCTTCAGTGATCTGGTGACTACTTGAGTATTACCTTCCAGTTTTCTCTACTCCCTGACAAAATGACGAATTATAAACATTTTCTAATAGCTATATTTTTTTTTTAGTCTTTATTATAAATAGCGGGTTTCAACACCTTTTAAAATCTCTAGCCTCTAGCAGTTCTCCAATGAAAGTCATATTTCCTTACTAATAGTGCTTCTTGCTATTCTTGATTAACCAGCTCTGACCTGGAAAATTTTATGTTCCCATGTGCTAGGTCTCACACTTTGCTTTCAAGTAACTCAGATAACTCTGAAGTCACAAATTAATTCTCACAGTGTGGTAGGTGAAAATTATTATTCTCCTTACAGATAAGGAAATAGTTGCCCAGAGTGGACTGTGACTCATCCCACTCCCTGCATCTTTTTTAACAAACCTTTCACAGCCAACTTGCCCTCAGTTAAAATCCTACAAAAATCATGCCCTGCTTGAGATTTTGTTTCTCCCTCGCCAACTCCTCAAGAAGAAAGCATGCCAATGTTCAGTGTATTGTGAGAATGGGTAATCTGGGATTGGAGGTAGCATGAAGAATCTCTGGCTCTTTGGCCTGGAGAAAAGAAGAAATAGAGAGACACGGAAACTGCTCTTAAATAGAATAATGGTGGGTGTGTAGAAGAGAGAGAAGGCGGGGTGTTACAGCTCAGAAGGTGGAACTGGAAGGGAGGAAGAGCTATGCAGGCTGACTTTCCGCGGACTTCTCATTAGTCTGTTTATGCAGTGCTCCAGGAGAACTTCTCTTCAAATTCAGACCACAGGACCCATCCTCCGTGAAGTTCCCTTGCTGTTTCTGTTCAAAGTGTGAGGTCACTTTGCTGAGATCCCTTAACTTTCTCATGGATCTACACAATAGCATCAAAATCATAATGCTTCCCTCCTTTTTGGCCTAGCAACTAGAATGTGAGCTTCATGTGGGCAGACGTGAACCATGGCATGTTCATCCCTGTGTTTCTTACATTTAAATACAAAATTTCTCTAAAATGGAATCAAACACTTCTGAAAGTACTGAGATCCCAGTTTCTATAGGTATTCAACCAGAGACTGTTAAAAAGGGACTTTAACCATACAACTCTATCACTCTATAACTTCTAAACTTCCAATATCTTAAGTGCCTTCTTATTTGAAGTGATTTCACGAATCCCAAAGAGTTTAAAAACATAACTCATGAGGACCAGTGTGCATGGTTTAGTTATATTTTTAAACTCTTTGGGATATATAATTAGTTTAATATTCTGATTTTAATAATGATTGACCTAAAAATTATTAAATGTCTTTTCAGGGCAATGTCTTTAATTATAGGCCCTGCTCTACACAAATGTTTGTTGAACACCTACTAAGTGCCAGACTCTGGGAATAAAAGAATGAGCAAGAACCCTGCCCTCAATAACTTACATTCCACTAAGAGCTGTATTTCCATTATTGGGATTGAGAGGTCATAGCCTACTTGCAAACTTTCGGTTTTATACCTCTGCTCCTCAGTACTGAGAATGTTTTCCTACGGTTACCACACATTCTAAGAAGACTATTATCTAATGTTACAAGGGAGGCTCTTTGACCCCTTGGTGTCACTAAGTCTGAACTGTAACTGATCCAACTGGGAACTGCCTAGGCAAGTAAGGGAAAGTGAAGACGGAGACTCCCAAGGTCATTTCAGAACCGACCTGAACTTCACTCTTTCCTCGTTCTAGATTATGTGCAATGATATGGGCACACTGGAGCCCACCCCACCCCCACTCCCCAAAGCAGCACAATTACAGCCTGGGAGGGGCAAGTCTTGCGGTGTCCCTCAGTAACTGCCATTATTTGAATGCGATATAGGAGCTCCCACATAGACCCTGCTCTACCGGGTTAGAATCTGTTTCCAATCACGTGGAATTTAGATTTAAACCATAGTTAGATTTGGAATTCACCACCGTTTCTACTTTCATTCATTTAGTGGCTTCCAGCCCTCTCCCGGTCCAGTCTTAACCCAATGCACTTCAGAGGGAATTACACGGGAGTTACGGACTGGCGGGGGCGGGGGGTCCACCAGCTCCCTGTGAGAGAGCGCCAAGGGCGAGGGCAGCACCTCCCGGCTGGGTTGGGTCCGCCTCGCCTCGCCTCGGGGATCCTTGGCGCTCAGCGCCGCCCTCCCGCAACTGCGCTACCCGCCGGAGCCCGGCGTCTTCCCTTTCCTTGTCTTGTGGACGCCGCCCTTCGCTCCCGGGAGGATTTCGCCTCCAGCACCTCAGGCTTTTCTGGCGCAAAGGTCGCCAGCCGGAGCGAGCCCAGGCGGCGGCTTCACTTCTGCAGAAGGAAAGCGAAAGCCGCGGCGGGCGGGCCGAGGGGGCGGCCGAACGCGCCGCGTGGCCGCTGTTCCCGAATCCGCAGCGGCGGCGCCAGGGCGGTCACCGAGCCCTGCGGACCCCGGCTCAACTTCCAGCGCCACTCGGGTGCCCCAAGCCCGCCGCAGCTCCCCGCGCGCTCTCCAGCCCCCCCCCACGCAGCCCCCGACGCGCCCGGGGCGCCCTCCCGCAGCACTGGCCAGGCCACCGCACCTCCCGCGCGGCGCTCCCCCGGCCAGCCAGGAGCTCCCCGGCTCCGAGAAGGACGCGTCAAAGGGAGTTCGGAGGTTCAGCAGCCCCCAGCGTCGGCTTCTCGGGTGACATGACGGCCTCTCTGGAGCGCAGGCCCGCCGCCGCCAAGCCTCCACCGCCGGTCCTTACAGCCCAGCCACCGGAAGATGCAACGCCGGGCGAGGGGCGCTCCCAGGATTTTGAGAAACAGCCTCATTCGCCTCGGGAGCACCTCGATCCCCCACCCGCACCCTTTGGCCAGATGATTTTAATCCTGGGATGCCGCGTTGGTGGGGGGGGACTGGGAGCTGGAGCGGGAGGAGAGAAACCGGCAGCGCGGAGTTGCCGGGTTGCAGCTGCGCGCCGCTGGCGGCGAGGGGTGGCGGTCCCTGCGGCTCTGCCGGGCTGGGGGAACGGGCTCCTGCGCCTCTGCCTCCCGGAGGATCGCATTCGCTCATCCTTACAAACCACACACACACACACTGCCGCTAGCGCCCCCCACGCCACAAGCAGGAATGCGGAGGTCAGAGCCACTGTCCACTTGAAAGCAGGAAAGCAGGGGCAGAAACACTGAGATGGGGGCGGAGGCTCTGGCCTCATCGGCGAGGTTCGCACCTTCCCAGGCTTCCTAGTTTCCCCAGAGCTAACAAGATCTGGCTTCTGACACTCCGCTCTCTGGGCTAGCGGTTCGAGCTGCAGGGCGGGGGGGCGGGGACGGATTCGGAAGGAGCACTAGAGAGAGAGCCCGCGCTCACTCCTGCCCTCCTCGCAAAGAACTGGCCAGCCCCACTCGCGTCCAGCCCACAACTAGGCGGCCGGGGCCGGGGAGCCAGACCCCAGGTCGCTCCAACTCCTGCGAGGGCGGGGAGGGGAGTGACAGGAGCAACCACTGCGCGCGCTGGCAAAAAGCACGGAGTCTCCGAATAGGCTAAAAGGCGGGCGCGGAGGGGTGGAGGCAAGACGGGGCGGAGGAGGAGTTGCCCGAGCGGAGAGGAATGACGTCCTCCAGGGCCTTGGGCTCCGAGGGACCGAAGACTGGTGCGCTCGCCGGGCCCCGCGCACTAGCTCTGGGGTTCGCAGAGGCGCCGCGCTCGGCTCCCACGGCGGCTCCAGCACAGAGCGCAGGCGGTAGATCCCGGCCAGCTTAAACCGGGCGCAAGCCCTCTGTCCGCCTCAAAGCACCTCTCTGCTCGTCCCTAGTCTCCAGGTGCCCGTCCGAGAGTCCCTGCCGCTTCCGGGCGGACCCGGCCCGGCAGCCCCCGGTCGGGCCAGCCTCGCCCCTTCCTAGCTTTCTCCCCCGTCGACCTCGAGCCAAGGGCAGGCGGCCCGCACCCGCGCCCCTACCCACGGGGCTAGGCGGCGCTCCCGGCCTACGCCCGACTGCCAAGAAGGATGGGGCACTGGAAGGGAAAGGCGCTCACCTGGGTCACCGAAGCCTTCCTTTGGGGCCCCTCCCGGAGCTTGTTGGCAGCCCGCGGGCACAACCTTCCTTGGAGAAAAAAAGTAGCGCAAGGGCAGAGTGAGGTAGGGCTGCTCACAGGTCCCTCCGCAGGGGCTCTTTCTTGCGAATTCTCCGAGGTCCAATCTCGGGCTCGGCGGCGGGAAAGAGCTCCTGGAGGCTGGAAGGAGCCGCCAGACCCGGGCTCCTCCCGCAGCTGCGGTGGCGGCACCTCCAAGTTGCCACCTGCAGCGCGCTTCGGGCGCCTGTGACAGCTCGCGCCGCTCAGCCCTCGCCGGCCCGCCCTCCCGGTCCTCTCGTTGGCTGCGCCCGGCGCCCGGGCGGTCCCGGCGCTCTGCCCCGCCCTGAGCCCGCCTTCGAGCCGCGCGCTCGCAAAGTGTGGGTCTCCTTACAGGCCTCCCTGGGCTTTATAGCCAGCGGCCTCTACAAGCAGGGAAAGAATTACACACACACACACACAAAAAAAATTTTGTGTAGCTAGGGACTGGAGGGAAAGGAGAGGCTATGATAAATGTCCTTTCGTGTGCCTTAAGGGGACCTGGTAACTTGGTTTCTTTTGCTGGTATTAAATTTTTGCAATCTCTGAAAAGAGTTAACTTCACAGCGGCGGTCTGGGGATGTAGGCCAGAAAGTGGCTTGGGGGCTGTTTCATTTAAGCATCATCCAACTTCACATGAAGCGCCAAAATATGAAGAGCAGTGTAGACCCAGCTTGCACCCTTTTCTCACGCAGCCTGCACCCCTGCAGCGGCGGATCCTGCAGTTCCAGCGCCTGCAAAGCCATCCCCACTGGTGCCCACGGGGTTTCCAGGCCTGAAGGCTCAGTATGTCACATGCGTGTTTGCTTGATTCTGTGGCCTGTGAGTCCAGGCCATGAGAATGTATGCCCGTGCACACTAAAAACGAGACCTGTGCTTTCTACAACTCTTGGACCTTCTAAGTAAACAAAGGGAACATTATCTTTCTTTTCCTTCCACCTCTACCCCAAAGACCTGGACAAGAGTTCACTGCACAGTCTATCCCTGGGCACTCAGGCCAGTCTTCACTCACTCTGCCTCCTAGTAGCTCCTGGAGGCGTGCTTTCTGGAAAACGGATTTGGTAAAGCGTTCTGGAGGAGGAAAAGCTATAAAATATGACAATCACAAGTCTGGAAAGCCATCCAATCAACCAGAAACGTCTGACTCTTGGGTGTATCTATGTGAAAGAGGTACATTGCCAAGTGCCTATTAGTTTAATAACATTTTGAAATTAACTGCCCAAATAGCACATTTTATAGCCCATTAGGGAAATGTCTAGGTTTTGAGAGTGCAGGTGTTGCACTGTTAAATGAGACTGGAGTGTGCACATGCAGCTCACATCTAGCTGTGTTTTGTGGAATCCTCAGCAGGCTGAGGCAGAGGAAAGAGGCTTTCTATAGGAAGTCAGAGGTGGCGCTACACAAGGGCATATTGGAAACACTTGGCACCAGTCAAGAAGCCACACCCTTTCAACTGTTGGTAAGTAACTTGGAAGACTGCTGCATAGCACTGGTTCCTTGCATCAAAGCAAAGATTTTGTTCCATGAGACCCTATCATCTTGGGTCCACTTTGGAAATTAAAAGCAAACTTTTTTCCCTGCAGCCAAGTGCTTACTCTGGCCACTCTCAAAAGAAGCAAACTAGTTCTCACCTTTGCTCTTGAAACTCCTGAAGACAGCAGTCTAGTGGCAAAGCATTCACAGTAAGACATTTCAATACCCCAGGTTAAATGTTCGCTTATGAATAGCTCTTTGAATTGAATTGGGTAAAACAATGAGTAGAATTAAGGTGTGGCTTGCTCAAGTTTAAGTCCAGATTGACTCAATAACTGGAGGAATAGCTAAAAAAAAAAAAAAAAAAAGGGGCAGAAGGGTGGGTAATGGGAATACTAGTGACTATTAAACTAGTTATGTGTCTGTTATGTTGATAGCCAGGTGAGGCACGACTTGACAAGATGGATTTCTTTCTGGGAGTGCTGTGCCAAGCATAGAAGTGATGAAAAGTTCTTCCTCAGGAAAACCATGTTCCTTCGTATTAGAGACAGAGCTTGAAGACTGGTGTGAATGAGAAAGTATGATGTAGGAAAGAGGGAGGAATGAGAAAGGATTGGAGAGAAAATGGGAGAGTCTATTGACGGTGGGAGAAATCAGTAGACACTGGAGCCCTTGTGGCTGAAGATTCTGAAGGAGAAGACAAAAGAGAATGTGAAGGCAGTCAGTGTAGAAGCTGAGACCTGGAACGGCTTCTCCAACACCTGTGTGTGTGTTTTGCTGGATTTGCATATGGGACAGTTTATGTAAACATTTTCTTTATATGCGGAAAGAAAATAAGGGTGTCCACCTGATTGAGCTGTGGTAAGGACTGACTGAGATAATGCAGATCTGCAGTGTTTAACATATAGTAAGCATTCAATAAATAGTCGCTACTATTATAAACTGTGTTTAAAAAGGGCTTAAAGGTCACCTATCACTTCCAACACTTGTTACCACTAGACTATTTTCATCAAATGCCCCTCTTGCCTGTGCATTCCCTGTGATAAGAATCTCATTACCTTCAAGTCAGGTGCCATGGCTCACAGCACTTTGGGAGGCTGAGGTGGGAGGATTACTTGAGCCCAGCCTGAGCAAGAGACCAGCCTGAGCAAGAAAGTGAGACCTCACCCCACCCTTGCCCCCCATCCTCTACCAAAAAAAAAGAAAAAGAAAAAGAAAGAAAGTCTCGTTACCCCTGAATAGTCTTCTATTTCATAGTTGAACATAGTCAACTATGAAACTATGGAATTTCATTTTCCATAGTTGAAGGTAGAATGTGTCTCACTCCCCTTTTTATCCATTGGTTCTGTTTCTATCCGTGGTGGTCCTCCAAATGTGTAAACCCTATTTCACAAGAAAGCATTCCAAATTGTTTAAAACAAATGACAGATGCTCTGCATGACCTCTTTTGTTGAGGCTAAACATGCCCTGTCCCTTTGGTCTCTCCTCACATGATCTGCTTGCACAATCTTTCCTCATCTCTTACCCTCCAAATTGCCTCTGACCTCCTTAAAATATAAACACACTGCTTCAGCCCAGTCGTCCTAGCAAAATACGTCAGTTCAACGTGCTGCTGTCAGTGTAGCTTTTGAATGGGCAAATCACACTCTTGATATTTATCGAGTTTCCTGAGAACTAAAACTCATGCATCTTCATATGTTACTGTTTCTGCATAACTTTGTGGAGGAATCCTAGTTTTGCTCTTTAATGTTTTCTTTTCTGTAAAAGGAGAAGATTTGACTAAATAACTAATGAGGCCCATTTAAAAAAATATTTGGAAATAATTTCAACTTAAAAAAATAGGGGAAAATGATGTAAAGAAATTCAATATCTGTCTCTCCTAGTTTTCCCAAGTTTTATTGTTTTGTATTTGATATATCTCTAGATATAGCTAGCTAGATAGATACTCATGATTAATATTTTTTTTTCTGAATCAGTTAAGAGCAGGTACAAACATGCTGTTCCATTGCCCTTAAGTACTTCAGTGTATGTATTTCTCCCAAACGAGGATTCTCTCTTACATAAGCATAATAAAACATTGAGATAACACCATCTACAAATCCATAGAATCTATTCAAATTTTCTCAACTTTCCCCTGAATGTCTGTTTTGCTTTCTCGTCCAGAATCCAGCATAGGATCACGTATTACATTTAGTTGACATGTCCTGTTATTCTCCATTAATCTGCTACAATTTTTAAGTTTTTCCCCAACTTTCATGACCTTGATGGCTTTAAAAACATATACCTTTCATTCTGTAAACTGTTGCTCAACTTGGGTACATCAGCTGTTTCTTCATATCTGATCCAGGCCATACATCCTTGTCAAGAACATCAAAGAAATTACACTTTACCCCTGAGAGTGCATGACATTAGAAGGCACGTGGTATCAGTTTAACAGAACCACCACTATGATGTTAACTTTTAACATCTGGATTAGTGGCTACTGGGATTCTCCATTATAAAGTCACCATTTTCCCATTTGTAATTAATAAGTATTTTGCAGAATATGCTCTGAGGTTACGCCCATATTCTGTTCACATTGAACCTTCACTCAGCTAGTATTGGCAGGCACTGATAACACCTGCCTAAATCAACCACCACTGTGATGGCTGCCAAATGGCAATTTTCCATTTGCACCTTTGTTTTTTGGCATTTATTAGTTGGCATCCTTCCATAAAGAACATCTTGGCCTTCCCTGCACTTATTTACTTATTTTAGTCTAGGCTTATGGTCTTCTAGTCTTTTCTATGGGTTGCATTCCATTACTTTCATTATTTATTTTGATACCCAAATTGTCCCAGATTTTGCAAGTAAGTATCTCCTCAAGCTGGCTCTTGGGTCCCTCTGACATATTCCCGTTGTTCTTTGAGCAACCGCTAATTTTCTGGCACATCAAGATGTTCCAGGTTCATTTTGTACTGTCCCTGCCCCTGCCCTGAAATCAGCCCACTCTCCAAAGAGGCCTGGTTCCTCTCAGTGGAGGATGGCATTTAAACACCAGATCTGGGCCCGTGGTTGGCTACTACTACTGGGGTGTCAGACTTTTAGGCCCTTTCGGTGGACACAGGAAATAGATGATACAGGGTCACACACAACCACACATACACATTTATGTTTGTTACTATATGTGTGGATATCTGTATCTATATCCATCTATAAATATATATGTACCTCTATATCTCTATAACTATCTCTGTATTGTGGATTCACATCAATACCTTCCATTCCAAGCCAACACATCAGGATTCTTTTTAGCCTTTCTCCTTTCTATATTTGTAAATCTCTTCTCTAACAGAGAGAAACCTGACTCCCATTATCTTGAGTATATTGACTTATTTGCTCCATCTGGACTTACATAACAATCTCTGATGACATCAGCTACCTCCTCATTCTTGCCCCAATTGCTGCACCTTTGAT